TGGTTCCATCTTCGATATTTAACTTTTTACATGAAAGAAGAGTTTTTGCTAAAGTTAATAATAATAATACAATTATTGGTCCTAGGCTCAGTTATAAAGGTCATATCAAGGAGGAATATTAAGTCCTCTTGTCTTTATTTTATACATATTTAAAGTAAACAATATTTTAGGATCAAATGTTACTAATTTACATTATGCAGATGATTTGGTCATATATGCCTCAGGAACAAATGAACCTCAAAAACTTAGTAACCATTTTAAATGAGGCTTTAAAAAAATTGCACATTTACTTTTCACACTTAAATTTAGATATTAGTACTGAGAAAAGTAAAGTTGTAATATAAATATTATAAAATTCGTCCATTTAACACTAGAATAATTTATAATAATACATTTATACCAATAGAAAGTTGTGCAAAATTCTTAGGTGTAATTTTTACAAATAATTTATCTTGGACCAAATTCTATTTCAGACAGAGCTTCTAAGGCTTTTAATGTATTAAAAGCTTTTGCTAGTACTAACTGGGGAGCTGATCCAGAAATATTATTAATGTTATATAAGTCTTTGGTGAGGAGCCATTTTGAGTATGGCTTCCTTTGTTTTGCATCAAATAAAAAACTAGTAAACAAATTAGACATTATACAAAATAAGAATTTAAGACTTATTACCGGCTCCATGAGAACAACTCCTATTGTTTCTTTACAATAACGAAAATAATTTGGAAGTAAATTTTTTATGAACTCCGTCACTTGTTGGTGTACAAGGAAATGAAAACGCAGACCATTTAGCTAAAAGCATGAAGGTTTTCTCTAACTCTAACCTTCAACCTTCATGGCTAACTAAAAGTATAATCACAGCTCACTGCTGATATTGACAGGATAACCGGTGTGGCAATACCACATACCGCCACATACAGATTTATACCCAATTTCAAAGCAACAGATAAAAGAAGAATGGAAAATGCAATGGAACGCTGTTTTAGAGGCAGGAAAAGGTCATTGGTATGCATCAATTAATTCAGAATTAAGTATTCCTTGGTTTTCTAGTAACGAGAGATACCATAGCAGAAATTTTATACAATAATGTGCAGACTTAGATTTGGCCACTATCGAATGAACGCTCATCTTTCCAGGATGAGAATAGTAGCTTCTGCAACATGCAAATACTGTGATACAGAAGCAGATCAGACTACAGAACATATAATATTTAACTGCACAGCGTACGCCATAGACAGATTGCTACTCATTGAAAAACTTATACAAATTTATGAAAACTTAGAAAGCGTCCCGCGTGCCCTGCAAGATATTCTTAGGAATACTAAGACATATTTAGCACTTGGCAATTTTATTCATAATACTGTAAAAGAAATATGAAATATGGTATTCCTGTTTTTGTAAATATCATCATCATCATCATCATCATCACAGCCCTTCACAAGTCCACTGCTGAACATAGGCCTCCCCCAAGTAATGCCACAAAGCACAGTCCTGAGCCACCTGCATTCATCGACTTCCTACATATCTTACCAGGTCGTCACTCCATCTAGTGGGGGGTCGCCCTACACTACGCCTACCGGTGCGAGGCTGCCACTCGAGAACCTTTCTTCCCCATCGGTTATCGGTTCTTCGAGCTATATGGCCGGCCCATTGCCACTTCAGCTTACTAATCCGTTGGGCTATGTCGGTCAATCTGGTTTTACTGCGGATATCCTCATTTCTGAGTCTATCACGCAGAGAAACTCCGAGCATAGCCCTCTCCATAGCTCGCTGAGCGACCTTGAGCGTCCTCATACGGCCAGCAGTGAAGGACCACGTCTCTGATCCGTAAGTCATCACTGGCAACACGCACTGGTTGTACACTTTAGTTTTCAGAGATTGAGGTATACCTGACGAGAAGATATGTCGTAATTTCCCGAACGCTGCCCAGCCGAGTTGAATCCGTCGATTGACCTCTCGGTCGAAGTTGGACTTACCTAGTCGGAATATTTGTCCTAGGTAAACGTACTCGTCAACAACTTCGAGCATAGTGCTCCCAACAACTACCGGCATAGGTGTGACATGGACATTAAACATAATCTTTGTTTTGTCCATGTTCATCTTAAGACCTATCCGTTGGGAGGCACTATTGAGGTCATTGAGCATAGTGCTTAAGTCCTCCAGCGATTCTGCCATAAGGACTATATCGTCGGCAAATCGAAGGTGAGTGATGTACTCGCCATTGATGTTAATACCGTATCCTTTCCAGTCCAGTAGCTTGAAAACGTCTTCCAAAGCAGCGGTGAAGAGTTTCGGGGATATAACGTCACCCTGTCTTACACCTCTCTGCAGTTGGATAGGTTTCGAGCTCTGGTTCTGTACTCGGATAGCCATCGTAGCCCTACTGTACAAACACTTCAGCACTTCGATATACCGACAGTCAACTTGGCACCGCTGAAGGGACTGCAGCACCGCCCAAATTTCGACGGAATCAAAGGCTTTCTCATAGTCCACATACGCCAGGCAAAGTGGCAAATTGTACTCTTCAGTCTTCTGTACAATCTGCCGCAGGGTATGTATGTGGTCTATGGTACTGAAGCCTTTTCGGAAACCGGCTTGTTCGGGAGGCTGGAAGTCGTCGAGTCTGCGTGCGAGACGATTCGTAATGACTCTCGAAAACAGCACGTAGACGCGGCTCAGAAGGGAAATCGGTCTGTAGTTCTTTAAGAGAGCGTTGTCGCCTTTCTTAAAGAACAAGACCACCGCACTTCTGCTCCACGCCTCTGGAGTAGTGCCACCATGGAGGACGGAATTGAAGAGCTTCTGAAGGACTTCAAGTACCGGTGTTCCACCCGCTTTCAGAAGCTCCGCTGTAATTCCATCCTCGCCTGGGGCCCTGCCATTTTTAAGGTGCTGGAGAGCCATTCTAATCTCGCTTAGACTGACGTCCGGGATATCATCGGAATAGTGTCGGATAAGACTTGCTCTTGGATCGTTACTCACACTTACGTGTGGCTCCAACGATGATGTGTACAGCTGCCCATAGAACCTCTCAATCTCACTCAAAATCTCAGGTGTCCCGGAAACGATGCTGCCACACTCAGTCTTCAGCCTTGACAGTTGGCTCTTTCTGGCAGACAGATCTCTGGCAAAGACTTTGGAGCCCTGGTTCCGCTCGATCGCTTCTTTAATACGAGCAGTATTAAAGTTGCGTAAGTCTCGCCGCATGCATTTGGAGATCTGTCTGTTCAGTTGCCTGTATGCTGTCAAATCTGTTGACGATTGCAGCCTCATCTCCCGTCTAACAGCCATGAGATTAAGAGTGTGATCGGAGAGTTTTTGTGTTCTTCTGCGGCGGGTCTTGCAGAACTTAGCTCTGACCGCATGGACAGTTTCCACGAGCTTGTCATTCATATCGTCCACTGCATTGCAATCTTGTAGGCACTGAAAGCGGTTGTGTAACTCGAGCTGAAAGTTTTCGGGATTTTGGATTAGAGCACGAGGGGGACGGAGCGTTGACTTCATTAGCCGAGACCTCTCCAACTTAACGTTTAGGTTCAGTGTGCCTCTAACCATTCGGTGATCGCTGCCAGTTTTCACCCTTGCGATCACTGAGACATCACTGAACAGTTGGCGTCTGGTCGTCATAATGAAGTCAATCTCATTTTTTGTCGAACCGTCGGGGCTCGACCAGGTCCACTTCCTGTGGGGCCGCTTCTGGAAGAAAGAGTTCATCATAAAGAGTCCCTCTTTCTCCATAAAGTCGGCCAGCTGCTGGCCCCTTCGGTTCCGTTGCCCTACTCCAAATTTCCCCACCCTCAGCTCACCGCTTTCTCTTGTGCCTAGTTTTGCGTTGAAGTCTCCCATCAACACCGTGTAGTGGGTTTTGGAGGAATGCATGGCTTTGGAAATATCCTCATACATTTCCTCCACCTCCTCATCGGAATGTGCCGACGTTGGTGCGTAAACCTGTATGACCTTCAGCGAATACCGTTTGGTGATTCTGAGTATCAGGTACGCGACCCTCGTCGACACACTCTCAATCTGTACAACGTTGTTGACGAGAGACTTGTGGACGATAAATCCGACACCTCCTTGGGACAGATGGTCGCCCTCCCGGTGATAGAACAAGTTGCCGGATTCGAGAATCACCGTGTCCTCCCCCTCTCTTCGGACCTCGGATAATCCTATAATACTCCAGCGCAACTTGTCTATCTCTTCTTCCAGCTCCAGGATCTTCTCGTCAGTCCTCAGTGTGCGTGCGTTAAATGTTGCCAGGTCGAGTCGTCGTAGGTGGCAACCGAACCTCCACCGGAGATTCTTAGCACCCCCTGCCCCGCCGTTACCATGGTCGCCACCGTAGCCAGGAATAGCGGGGCCGCCGGGGACTGGGGGCCGTCTATTTGTGTAATTGTTCATGGGGGGGTATATTGCCATAGTTGCCACGCTTGGCGAGCGGGTTGGCAACCGCAGTTTTTTTTTTGTCGTACAGTTGCTGTTATCAGGAAGATGCTGCTGCCCATCTCCTGCCTGTCTCCCTCTGTCGCCTCTTACGACACCCACGGGAAGATATGGGGTAGTGGATATTCTTAACCGCCACTACACGGCGTGTAAATATGGGAATGATAAATCTATATTAATTGAAACTTATAATGATTATAATATAAAGAAGAATTGGCTTTAGCCTTTATGGTTTTTGAAAATATGAAGAATTAAAGAAAATAAGACTTGGCTTCGGCCTTTATGGATTTTGAAAAGATGGAAAGAAGAAAAATAAGACTTGGTTCCGGCCTTTACACTTCAAAATTCTATATATTCAAATTAAAAAAGACAAGGCTGTATGGCTTAGTTCCTTTGCCAACTCTCTCGAGCGAATAATAAAAACAACAACAACTTATATATCGAATAAAAACAAATTAAAACATAAATTATAAATTATAATGCTTATAAGTTTTAATAGAAAATACTTACTAACACTTTATTTATCCATTATTAAGCCGTGTTTAGTAGTATCTCAAACAAATATGTCTTCTGGAAGTGCTGAAGCAGGTATGCCATTACACATTTTGAGACCGTTAAGATAAATATAAAAATAGGGAAATCTACAAAATGATGTGCACATTCACTTTACGTACTTAAAAATTATTGGATACCGAACCACATTTGTACTACGCTATATAAAAGTACCTCACAGCTGCAGCTCACTTTTACCAGATATCTTGCATCTTTAACGCTGTCCCTTCGCCGGCCTAAATATTTTACATCTGGTATTTAAACGAGATGGTTATTGTGGTGTCGGTGATGAGTACTATTACACCGGTTGCATACGGAACGACTCAAGTCCGTAGATTAGGGCTTACGTTTCATTTATTTTTTGATTAATATATAGATTAAAAGACATAATTATTGTTTTAATATCGGCCCTGGGAAGCAGCAACACATGCTATGCCACTGATTTTTAACCAATTCTGTAACATTATGCTTTGAATTCATGTGGCATTTAATATAATCACTGACTACTGAACTAACAACAAACTAATCAGTTTGAAATTGGTGTTGCATCCCTACCTTTTACACAGACATGACAATGCTTAAACAATGTTTAATGTGCAAGGGAAATGAGCATTGTTGTAAATGATTTAAGTAAGAAGTATGTAATTTCTATGTTACCAAGTTAATGTGTTTGTATAAAACATCCTCATCTTTATATGGAAATGTTTCTACATTTCCTACATTAAAAGGCTTTTAGTACTCCCTTCTCTGCTGCATGCATGTTAAGTACAAATAAAGTGTGCCACATTCTATGGACAACTGTAGCCAATTAAGAATCTAATTCCATAACATGCTTTTCATATTATCAAAGAATATTTTATGTTTATCACTTAACTCAAATATCAAAGCTTTTTTCCCATAGTTAAATTATGTTTTTTATCTCAAGTTGTATAAAGTATTTTTAAAATCTTTTGGATTAAGAATTTAATCGAATTCATATTGTATTTCATGTATGCACAATTTCTAAGCATGTTAAGTACAAATAAAGTGTGCCACATTCTATGGACAACTGTAGCCTAACCGTATTACACAAAGTATAATTTCTTGAGCATCAAAACCATTATGATTATTTTGCTGACAGAGTGGACATCTGTAAAGTGACGAGTGTACAACTAAAATTGCATAATAGAAAACATGTAATTTAAAATAATTTCAGGCATATACTCTGTGGCCTATGTGACAGTTCCCAGCACAGATGTGGGCAAGACAATTGCGAATGGACTTGTTAAAAATAAGCTTGCTGCTTGTGTTAATATTATACCCCAAATCACTTCTATATATGAGTGGAAGGGAGAGATAAATGAAGACAGTGAGGTAAATTACAAAAACATTCATTCATATTATGGTTAATTAAGTAAACTTACCTCCTTCATATTATAATAATGTTATAGATTAAAGGTGACAAAACAGCACACAGTCCACCTGATGGTACACCTGCGTAAGTGGTTGCTGTGGCCCATAGACATCTACATCTATCCTCTTTTGTGAATCAAAATGCAGATGCGTTGTCAGCCTTGAGGACTAAAATGGAATGCCTCTTTTCCAGTAAAAAGGGTCTCTGATTCTCTACACTCACCATACAAAACATAGCAGCATTAAGCTGCTATCTGATGCTGGTATTCTGTGAGGGTGTGGTCCTTCCCGGGTCGAGCCGACCCATTCATGCTACAACTATACAATTAATATAGCTGCAGCATGGCTCTACCACTTAAAAAATCAAAACATCTATAAATTCATCTTGGATTAAGGATCAAAATGAAGATGAGTTGTAACCCCTGAGCACTAAGATGGAATGCCTCGTTTACAGTAGAAAGTTTCTCTACACTCACTATTAAAAACACAGCAGTAATGAGCTGCTATTTTATGCGAGTATTCTGTGAAGGTGTGGTCTTTCCTATGTTGAGGCAACCTATTCATGCTTCAAACCTAGTATAGCTGACTACGGATACGGAAGGATTATATTCTATTTAGTGAACACATAGTTAGCAGTGTAAGAGAATCTACTACTCTATTTAGATTATATTTTATTCAAAGAATTCAAATAACAAATTTGTAACTGCAATTGCCAACGTGTTTGCCAAGTGTGTAAAATTTGGCAAATATCCCTTCTAATAGGCATTAAATGGGGAAAACTATGTCCAGTGGTGAACTTTTGATGTTGAGGCTGCATGATGCAATGCAATGCAAATACAATGATGATGACAATTCTATTTAAGTTTAATAAATATTGGTCTATATATTGAACAGGAGAGTTTAAGATAAAAACCGGCCTCAACAGAGGCTAGGACAGGACAGGATTATAGTGTCCAATTGTATGCGCAAGCACAGGTGTACTCTCTATTCCCTCACTCTCATAATCCGATGGGATGGTAAACCAACACGACCGGAGAGAGATCAGGCGCAGGACCAACGGCTTTACGTGCTTTCCGAGGCACGGGAGTGAGACACCGCCAACTTCCTGACTCCAGGCAACTGCTGAGAATTTCTTGACGGAAAAACTCAATAATTAATTTTTTGGCCCAACCTGGAATTCAAACCCAGGACCTCATGATCAGCAGTCGCACTACTACAACCACTAGACCAACGAGACAGTCATATATATTTATCAGAAAGTTACATACTGCCTTATATTTTTCTTACCACCTATACTTCACATATGCATGGTCCTCTCCCTTGTAAGGAGATGCCCGTTGCTGTAATTGTCACAAATAACAAGTGGATTAATGTGTCTTCACACACTGTTGACATTGCTGCTCTTCATCAGTCTGGGTTCTTTACAACTTACATAAGAATTCTGGCATCTATTAGAAACCATTAAATTCTGGCATATCCCATAGTCGTCTCTTATGCAATGACACATCAATGGGCTACTTTAATCATCAGGATACAATATTCCATGATGGAATAATTATTAATTAATAAATTAACCATACAATTCCGTTTTTGCAGGCGCTGTTAATGATTAAAACACGTACATCACTTGTGGACAAACTGACAGAATTTGTTCGTTCCAACCATCCATATGAAGTCTGTGAAGTGATATCATTACCAATAAAAAATGGTAACCCACCATACTTGAAATGGATTGGTGATACTGTTAATGAGAATTGAAAATGATCAAATGACATGCAACTCCCTACACCATAAATATTGTTTAAATTAAGCTTACATGACACAAATGTCACATGATTCATATCAAATATCAATAATATTTTTAAATATTGTGGTATTGTCTCTTATTGTGATGACAAAACATTATGTACAAGCTGGAACACCCTATTTCACTTCCTCAGGAGTAAAATTTTCCAAAATCCTTTCTATATATGTCTATGTTGAGAAAGAAGTATATATGCCAAATTTCAAGTCAACGGGGCATTTAGTTTTTGAGATCTCGTGATAAGTTAGTGAGTCAGTGGTATTCCACTTATATATTTAACTAAATATGATTGTACTTTATTTAACAGACGTTGTCAAAGCATTTAAAAAATATTATTTTTTTTACTAATAAAATATTCATTGTTTACCACATTCATTAAAAATCAAAATCAAAAATATTTGTTTAATTTAGGTTTATTCTTATTATTACTTTATATTTAGGATATCGAATTTCCACTAGCTAAGACCAATGCTGTGATTTGTCATGTAGTAATAAAAGTTATTACTTGATTGATTAAAACTACTTTTACGGATTTTTATCGCGTTTTATTTATTTTATTTTTAATACCCGACGTTTCGGGTGCTTTCCAGCACACATGGTCTTACTTTTACGGAATTTTATCGCGTTTTATTTATTTTATTTTTAATACCCGAACATGACGACCCGAATGTATAGTGTTCGCGTAAATATAAGAAATCATTACTTGATATTAGATAAATTGTATAGGGAGATTGTTACTAAACAAAACCAATGCAAATTTGTTAGGAATAGCAGGGATGTGTAACTTTATTAATAGTTAGATTATATATTTATGTAGACAATATAGTTTTAAAAAATGTCTAGCAAACCAAAAAAAAAAAGACTACAATTTTTTTTAATTTGAATTATATTATAATGTAGATTTAAATTAAATAACGAGAATAATAATAATGTTTCTGAATATCGCTTGTCTAACAACTGTGTTTTTCAACAAACAAAAGGCTGTGTTAGATAGGGACTTAAATATATTAGGCAAAATGTGGGTGTTAATTAATATATCTGCCTACTCCTTAGGGAATACAGGACTGATGTTATGTTTATGTAAATGAGGATAAAAATATTTTTTGAGGAAATCATTTATTATTCAGTCAGACGCCGATCCTTCTGAGTCTGTAGAGTCTGTAACACATATAATTGTCACTAAATGATGGTCTAGGTATTGTGGTGACAGGAGAAGAAATTTCGCCATGTTCTTTATAATCCTTGAGGATTCTATTTGCAGATGCAACACCGATACCTAAAATACTAGCTGCTTTCTGTACCATCTCTTTTCTGTGTGGGTATATATCATTAGGCCAAGTTTCTTTAAACATATTTGTAGTAGTTTTACTGTGAATGAAAAAATAAGTATTAATAACCCTTTTTCATTCACAGTAAAACTAGTCACCTAAAATTAAAAACTAAATTAAAATGATATATTTTACATACTTTACTTACATGCATCTTTAATAAATTAAGGAAAGTTTTATTATTACAGTTGCTGTTTTTAAATGAATTTAAGATAACTTTAAAGTACACTCCGAACCAAAAAGTTTTAATTCAAAACTACTAAACAACATTCATATATATCCTATTCCTATACATACCTGTGGACGTTTCTTTTTCGGAGAAGTAAAATCTGTTGATCTATCTCTCGACGTACTTGGTTGCGGCTCCATCATAACCACTGTTAATGATGAAGCCACAACCACGAGCTCGTTACGAATGTTGGCGAACCCGTCTTGACCCTGACATGTTTTTGTCGGGAAACGAGACATTACGACAAATACACAAGATAGAAAGAGATGGATAATAGATTGTTAACTCCACAGTCGTTTTTAAGGTAAATAACCTTTCGTATCGCTGCTAGTTGGCCTTAGTATATACCACATCTCTCAAGTTGGAGCAAGCAATACACATTTACAAAAGTTCATTAAAATAATTTTGTATCCGATTGTTGCAAAACATTTTTGGAATTTTATTGAAAAATTTTATAGATAAAAAATAATTTTCTGTTTTAAGGCCATCTAAATTTTGGGAACCAGGTTACTTATCACAGTCGCTCATTCTACAAGAGACAGTTTGTTTTTTATTAAATAAATTAATTGTTTGCTGTACCTAGGTACCAAATTAATTAGGCCCAGCCAGCAAATTCGGTCTAGAGGAGACTACCACACATAAAAGTCCAAAAATATATCCGCGTTAAATATATTACAATTAAAGTTTAAATCACCACGTACATATCATATTGCACCCTTGTCTTACATTTATTTTTTACTATGGAAGTTGCGCCAGCCTGATACAGTCTAACACAAGATGATTGGTAAAATAAATCATGTTCAACGATTACAAAGGAATTATTGAGAAAAGCAAGGTTTGGAAGACACAAAATATTTTATAATACATGTGGACGATGACGAAGTGTTACAGTGATTATGCTCGGCGGTGAAAGAAAACATTGTGAGGAAACCTGCATGTCTGTGCAAATATTTCGAAGACATGTGTAATATGCCAATGCGTATTAGGGTAACGCGGTGGATGCATCCTTACCCTAAAATCTTTTCAGAAGTGGGAGGAGGCCTGAGCTCGGCAGTGGGACCACTGGCGGCCCTAGCAAAATTTTTTGGTGGTGCGAGATCTCATGGTATCGCCCCTCTAAATACAAAACCTTAGTGTTCCTATACTATGCAGTTGCTTTTACGTGATTTTAAATAGACCTATCAAATATCAATAGGTGTATAAGCGAGGTAAGCACAATTGTGTCAGTCGCTCTTGCCATAACAGTTGTTCTGCTTATTCGCGTTAAAGAAATGCTGTCAATTCCGCTCACACTGCTCTGTTGCGCTCGACAACGTCACTATGCTTGCCTTGCTACGGTGACTGGTTGTACAGATTATTTCTCATAATAAGAGTTAATAATCTTGTTTGACAACTTTTATTTAAACTATTGTTCTGCAGACAGTGTTAAAAAGATAAAAGAACTACCAACTGCATACCTTTCCTTGGTGTGAGCAGCTATGCAGGTATGGAAAAACCAGTATCACTGCGACCTAAAAGATCTATAGTGATCGCTGCTATAGCTATAGTTCACTGCTAAGCCCCCTTCAACGAATGGGAGTTGCTTAGCTGTGAGCAATTTCACTTCTTCAGGGCGAAGTAGATAGTTTTCTAGATGTGTTATACTTGTGCATTAGGGGCCGCAATCAATCAGATGTGCAGGAGCGTTTTCCTGGTAAGTAACAAAACTGGCGCATCTTTGAGTTGCTTAGTCCCAGGATGGCCATGTGCTTTTTAAGACATCAGTGTCCAGTCAGGGCTCTTGCCAGAATGCGCAGTACATTTTTACCTAATCCCAGGGCTTCTGAAGCGAATTTACGATCAAATGCCCGGATTAAGGTTTTAAAATGTTTTAAGTCTGGTGTATTATCGGACCAGATATTAAGTGATTTATTGTGATAAAGAATTTCAAGTGTCAATCGGGCTAGGCTTTTTGAGATTCCACAAAAATGGCTTGGTTCCAGATTGTGTGCTCTTTATGCCCTCCCGTGCGGGCTCATCGGCAAATTCATTACCTACAATATCCCGCGTGGCACGGAACCCATCTTAAAACGACCCTGTTGTTATATCCCAAGGCGTTCACGCAGTCTTCAACTAGCTTCGAGTTCACTAAGTTTAATCTCAGCACTAGCAGTGCTGCTTGACTATCAGAGTTTATAAAGATTATATGATTGACGTAGTGTTTTTGCAGATTGATATCCGCACCCTGAAGTATGACGAAAATTTCTACCTGGAAGATAAGAGGTGAATCGACCCTAATTCATACTAAGTCTGAATTTGGGGCATTCCCCATAAATTCCAAAGCCTACTTCGAGGGCCATTTTTGCCCCATCGTTGTACCACGTAAGGCTACCTACCTTACAGAGAACCTGTCCATTCAGCTAGTCTTCTCTGGAGGATAGTTCCACTATAAACTTTATATTAAAAATGTGTAGTGGACGCATGATATCTGAAATCATGCATAAGACACGTGTTTCCTTGATTGAATCGAGCATGGATCTCAATTTATAGGAAAGCAAGTGCAGACCGTCCTGGCCGTTAATCCTACGACTGCTCCAGGCGATGATCGCATCGCTCCAGTTGCCATTAAGCAGGCAGTCCTTTGTAGACTGTTTAGTCTGTCCGCAGTCTTCTTTTGGTTGACCTTATTACAACAGACATTGGAGGCGTAGGTGATAATCGGCCTCACTATGCTGCTGTACAGCCATAGGATCATAATGGGATGCAGGCCCTATTTGTTCCCAACCATACGACTGCACGTACCTAAAACAATTTTAGCCGTATGACATACGTTGCTAAGGTGAGAGTTCCACGAAAGTTTTTAGTCGATTGTTACGCCCAAATACTTAACTTTTTCTGTTGCCTCTGCACTGCTGGCGTCACGTGAGTAGTGAGTGCAATATGGCAGACATCTGCTCTCGCGGAGCGTCTCCTTCACAGTTCGTGGAGTGCAGTGAGCAGTGGATGGAGGGCCCATCTTGGTTGTACGACGACTATTCGCAGTGGCCAGTGAGAACATTTATCAAAGATGAAAGTAATACACCCGAAATGAAATCAAATCATACGAGTACATTAGGCTTAGGCTCCGTCAATTTGATCACTAATGAAAATTATTTAATGGAAGAGACTATTAATCTATGGTAACCGCGGTTAACTATGACAGCTGGACGTTGAACATCTCAGTCCTTCCCGTGACCATGAGTGCTGTAAAGCTCTCGAAACGTCGGGTATTTAAAAATATACGCGATAAATTCCGTAAAAACTAGTATTATTTCAAAGTGTAGTGTTCGCGTAAATATAAGAAATCATTGTGGAAGAGACTAAGTTAGAGTTCTGTGAGCGAATCTTTTCTCACTTCTCTTTTTATTATAAACTGCAA